GGACGGCATTGCCAAAAAACAAAGATGAGGAATGGGAGTGAATCTCAAATTGTGCATACGGTCAACTCGATCTATACCGGCGTGAATGGTTTGGGTATATAAAATTGTTACACATGTAGGAAACTGTGTTCTGTGATATTTATTTCGAATTGACACAAATCTATTTGACCTTGTTTCATACGATTTATCTTCTCTTTTCCATGTCACGTAGTAATCGCCGCATTAACAATAGATTATCTCTACCGACTTTTACATTAAAACATCAGCGTCGTCTGAACTGCAGAATGAGCATCTTTTTATGAAATGCTTTTTCTTTTTCATCATTAGCGCTATTTGACGCTTCATCATCACTTGAAGAACCAAATCGATTATTTCTTGATTACTCACCAAGTTTTTAACCGGGATATTCCTGTTGATATCGATAAACGATAAATGCCGTAAACTAATATATCCAACGATTTTATGCAAAGAGAATTGAGTTACGGTTTACAATTTATCGATATGCATGAACGATCACTTGACGTCGCCGGTATAAAGTAAAAGTTTTTTATATAACGTAAAATAACCCTGGTTCTAGAAAATTTTGTATAACTTGCGCCGGAGCCGTTATAGACAGAGTTGTTAAGATTCAGCCGTTGTAAAAAGTGAAATTTACATTAATATGTAATTTTTTGGTGCAGCAAAATTGGCCCGGGATAAAGCGAGACCGGTACAAACATGCAAGTTTGCATTACAAGTAAAGAATGGTCAACTACACATTAATAATTATGATAAAATTGGCATGCCCAATTATTATGAGAAATTTAACTGTCTGAATAAGTAAAACGTAATTTCATTATGATCCCTCCATGTTCTAGGATTAATCACTTGCTGCCTATATAATTTTACATTATTTACTATCTTACGCTAAAATGTCTATTTATACCGTTCATCGATAATTCTTGGCAACTCGCAAGACATTGTTTAATGTCACTGAAAATTTGATGCAATTCGATTTCGTCTCATCAATTCTTTTCAACGTTTCATCTCTTTTCTCCATGGCGCTGTTTCTCGGCCAGCTATCAGTTGGGAATAACGCCTTTGATAATTCGGGAGCAGTCGATTTATAATAACAAATCAAGATTTGGTCGGGAAAATCCGGGTACGTACTCTTTTTTTATAGCCTTCCAATGGGCGTCCGACTAACATAATAAGCCAAGTTTTTCTGAAAAGGTTGCTCTAGCCCACAAATTTTATCTTTCCCTGATACCAATTTGTTCACAGATAAGCGCTCACACATTTCTCTGAACAAAGATCCATACATTTCTTACAGAAGCCAGATGTCATTTGTAGACAGGAAAGAAACGGCGGCTAAAACTATGTCGTTGTTTATGCTCTTTTTAAATATTTTCTAATTTTGATTATTAGTATCAAAGGGCGGAGGTGGAAATCATAAACAATTATTTCCAAGATTCTTCCACAGAACTTTAGATCGCAAGTATTTCTGTCTATTACAATGGGAAAAGAATAAAAAGTTTACGTCAATCACATTTGTGTCTCTATGTTGGCCAATTCTGCGTTGTAGTTATGTTTGGGAATCGAACCATCTGCAAGCCTTTTTTAATAGCTCTCTATAAATGCCAACTTGAAGCGCAGCTGCGAAATTTTTGTCAGTGAGGAAAAACTCTGGGTTTGCTTCCTTATGCTTCAATGCATTGAAAACACCAAATTCGAACGCCGTGCAAAAATAGCGTAAAGTTCGAATCCCAATGCATTTGTTTATCTAAACGGTGAATAAATAATTAGTAAAAGTTAAATAGCTATATTATTGTTCACACATTTTACTTACAAAAATTATTCTCTTGTTCAATTTCACGTTGTTAAACAAGCTCGTCACAAACCCGATACATTGGTTCCAGATTCACAGTTATGCATTAAATTTCATTTGTACGTATAATTTCGTTTATATTGTCCCTGAATCTGTTGTGTCCTGAGTAGTCTGCCACTTAATTGCTTTCGGCGCCAAGTGTAAGTGTTGTTGAGTCGTCAGTTTAATTTGTCTGTTACAGCAACTTTTTCTAGAGAATAATGTGCGCTAATTCGAGCAATAATTTTCTTAGTACTGTATCAATTTTAATTTTTAAAGTTTGGTCACAGTCAAAGCGAACCATACGTTCTACTTTTCCGTTTCAGAAAATATTTGAGACTGGGAGCAGTAAAAATGGAAATGTCGTATTATTGGCAGAGATCAAGTTTGTATAGACATACTGTTTTATGCCTTCGTTTAATGTTCCCTGTGAATACTAAGACAAAAGTTATAACTGGAAAGGTTTAAGCAAGCAAAAAATTTGATTCTAACTTGTAAGAATATCTATTACAGTCTCGGATGTATGTTGCAATATTTTTTTTCATCGCTTCAAATTTTCACTTTAAGAGCACGTTTTAATTTAAGCTAAACTCCGTGGTTGTCATTTAGAAAATTCGTCATTATTATTTCGAATCTAATCATGACTTTTAATTCCAACTTCTCGATTTCTGGAAATAAATCTAAAGGTTCTGCTCCTCGTGATATGTTTACAGAAAAGTAATCTTAGCAGTTATTGCAAGTTTTCTTAGCTTTCCGCTAGTTGTTTGAAATGGCAAAATTTCTTTGGTTCTATGACAGCGAATACAGGTTTAGTTTTTTTGTTCCATTGTCAGATAATAAGTATAACGATAAGATTTTAAATGTTCGGTTTGCTTGATTGTTACTTTTTGGGTCCTGGATATCGCTTATGTTAATAAATTGCTCGTATGTTAACAAAGGCCAATAAAGCAATTAAGAAAAAACAACGAGCAGCGACAAAAAGATAAAAATAGCAACAAAGTAACAATGATAGTAAAAAAGTTTATTACAACGTGCGCTTTAGAACGATGTTCTTTATATAACGTTTATAATACGTTTATATTATGTACATTGCAACAATAGCATCGAACAAAAGGAGTTTTTATGGAGTATAAGTACAACGACTATGTTGTAACAAAGATATCTTCTTCATATGGAGACTAAAAGTTAGCTAGGATGATTCTCTTTGTTAATGTTATAACTAAATTCGTTGTAAGCAGCTTGAGATAATACCGATATCGTAATATGATCTGCAGAAGATTCTCAATTAGGGCTAGTCAAATCTAATTGGGAATTTAAATAAACAGAGAACAAACAACCTGCACATTACACAAGCCACTCATTGGTTAATTGAGAAAATTTTAAATCGATATGGCACCACAAAATTATCGTCTATTGTTAGCATCGAATTACACATAGTGCCAATGTTTATTTATGAGGTAATTAGACATTCTTTTCAATCTGTTCGGTTTCAGCGTGTAACAAAAGATTATTATGGACTGCCAAATTTAACCAAAGCATAACGATAGCCAAAGTCGATGGATTTAAAATCGTTGGTTTTTGTGGCCGCGATATTATAAATTAGAGTTTAGAAAAGTTTATTACGAGTGTCATTGGCACGAAAATTTCCACATATCTCCGCGGACCGTCTGGCATAGAGATTGGACCGAATTTTAATGTATATAGATATACAGATGCGAGTAGCAGAATATGCTAGCGAGTACAGGAAGAGCGAAAAAATGCTTGTGTGCTGTAATATGTTAATGAAATCGTGATGTACGATTTAATACTTTGAATGTTAATAATACTAATACGGTAATATAGTGCGGGGGATGTCACTTAAGAATGTTACAAATAGTGATGCTGTGTAACGATGACAAATTTAGCCGAAGTTGAATGGGTTTCCTGTTTGGGGCAGGAGGGTGATCTCATGCATGCACAGTAATTAACGATCATTTAAATAAACTTTATAGGTTGGACGCTGTGCACATAATTATCAATTTTTGTTTTTGCATCAACATTTACACGCCTAGAGTGATTTTTTAATGGTAGTTACGTAAATCTAATTATTGGCTTTAATGTTGACATGAATTATTAATAAGATAACAGCAATTATTAAACTTAAACATAAAGTTCTAACAAATTAAGTTAAGGTTTGGTAATCTTTGACATAAGATTCTTTTCAAGATAGTTGTGATTTAACTTTGACACTATTTTTCAATGGATAATACATTAACGAACACATTGTGTGGAATGCGTGCATATAGAAAAAGATAGCTATGAACAAACAACAATTTTACTATAGAAATCGGTACTGCAAAGTGCACCAAATTTATTCTATTTACCCAAATAAAAGGGATGGGTGCCAAGCCATAATGCGCAATTTCTATAGCAAGATAGTCGTTTGTTCATTCTATATGCACGTATTCCACACAGAACTCTCACAGTATGTTCATTGATGTATTTATCCATTGATTGGAAAATTAGTGTCAATAAAGTCAACCCGCAATTATCTTGAAAAGAATCTTTAACTTTAATCTGGTATAATAATAACGTTTTAACAAATTATATTTAACCGCAAAATGTTAGAACTTAATATTAACAAGGTGCTTAAGTTTTAATATTATTATAATTGCTGTTATCCTATTAATAATTCATGTTAACATTAAAATTAAAGCCAATAATCAAGTTTGTGCAACGACTAGTAAAAAATCACTCTAGGCGTGTTTGTATTACTACTACTACGCAAATGTCTGTACGAAATTTCGATTCGTGCTTGCCGTTGTACACAAATCCCAGTATGTTTAATCGGCCAACCAGGACGGAAAATAAACAAAGTCAAAAAATTCCATTATTTGTTGTTTTCTGCGAGTAATTAACAAAAGAACCAATACAGTAGTCGTAGTGAGGTTTGTTCATGAAATATGTTTACACTACCGCATTCTAAATTTTTTATATAAGTGGAGAAGACTTTCCACCAATTTTTTTGTCTTCGCTAACAATATCCCTTTATAACCGTTAATATCCTTAATTCCATAAATAAACCGCAAGATGTATTTCCGTGCACTATTACTTTGTGCTGGTTTCCTTTGCTTTTTAGCATTGAACGTTGTTGAAGCAAACAACAGTTGCAGTCATGTCGTAACAATTACCAGACATCAATGTCAACATACTCCTACCGTAACTAGGACCAGGACCAAGACTGAGCACGAGACCAAGACCAAGACAAAGACCAAGACCAAGACCAAGACCATTAGTGAACCTGGTGCAACAACAACAGTCTCTGACTGTACCGATACTGTTACTACAGGTGCAGCAACCGTTACAATAACAAGCACCGTAGATGGCGACGATGATGCAACCGTCACACAAACAGAAACAGAAACAGACACTGTTAGTGAATGTACCAGCACCGTTACTTCAGGTTCAGCAACCGTTACTGACACTGTTAGTGAATGTACCAGCACCGTTACTTCAGGTTCAGAAACCGTTACTGACACTGTTAGTGAATGTACCAGCACGACCACAACCACATCACCCAGTCCAGTATTCATCACAAGTACAGACACTGTTAGTGAATGTACCAGCACCGTTACTTCAGGCACCGACACTGTTAGTGATTGTACCAGCACGACCACAACCACATCACCCAGTCTAGTATTCATCACGAGTACAGACACTGTTAGTGAATGTACCAGCACCGTTACTTCAGGCACCGACACTGTTAGTGAATGTACCAGCACGACCACGGACACTGTTAGTGAATGTACCAGCACCGTTACTTCAGGTTCAGCAACCGTTACTGAAACTGACACTGTTAGTGAATGTACCAGTACCAGCACGGACACTATTAGTGCATGTACCAGCACCGTTACTTTAGGTTCAACAACCCTTACTGAAACTGACACTGTTAGTGAATGTACCAGCACCGTTACTTCAGGTTCAGCAACCCTTACTGAAACTGACACTGTTAGTGAATGTACCAGCACCGTTACTTCAGGTTCAACAACCCTTACTGAAACTGACACTGTTAGTGAATGTACCAGCACCGTTACTTCAGGTTCAGCAACTGTTACTGAAACTGACACTGTTAGTCAATGTACCAGCACCGTTACTTCAGGTTCAGCAACCGTTACTGAAACTGACACTGTTAGTGCATGTACCAGCACGGACACTGTTAGTGCATGTACCAGCACCACGACCGAAACCAGTACCGTTACTTCATTTTCCGGCACAACAACCGTTACTTCATTTGCCGGCACAACAACCGTTACGAGCACTGTAACTATAATTCCCGATTGCGACACGTGTATTCATAATGGTAAAACTTGCCAATCAGATGATGAATGCTGCAGTCTACATTGTGGTAATAGTGGCAATGATGCCAATAAATGCGTTGCAAATCCTAACAACAGCAACCCCCAATTAGGTTAAAGAGAGGATATTAATATGTTTTTTAGAATTTTTTAAGCCTACTTGTGAATGTTTTTTTTTTGTTAGGCTTTTTTCATAAGACATACAATTTCACGTTACTTAATATTTAGCCTTAATACTAGATTGCATTTAGATAGTAATGTGTGATGTTTAATACCACTGTCACGTAATGATTGTACACACATCGCAATGCATATCATTTATTTCAATATATATATATAAATATAGATATCGATATATCGATACATAAACTGATATTTGGAAAATCAATGAACAATGACCGTATTTACATGTGGAGAATCGAGATAAAGAGAAGTTGGTATGAGAAAGAGCGTATATCATCATAAATTGTAAATGCTCTATTAAACTAGTAATACGAGCCGCCGAGTTACGAAGTAAAAATTCAAAACCAAAATAGTCCCAATCCACGAATCCTGACGTGTGTCAGGGAAGGCATTATTTATAAAAATATATTTTACAAGTTAAATAATAGCCAACGCTGCGCGGATACGTAAATATAATAACACATCGCATACATAAATCACATATCGTCAAATGACTAGCACTTATCAAATGAAATATCGTAATGTTATAATCTGTGGGAAGTATGTGAAGCGAAATCAGTACTGCAAAACATAGATATGAGAGTAATGCGAATGCTTAACGGTGAAACCCATTAAATAAATCCAGATTTCGTATCCCATCAAATACACGTAATCATTAGAACAACACAATTCGCTTAATATCTACATACATAAGAAGTCATTAGTTTGGTTTTTCTTCTACTTTAAAATACAAATTTTTGCTTACTTGATGGATTGATAAGACTATCATATCGGTAATAGCTTTAAATGTGTTTGTTGTTTACAAACGTGACTGAAAAGTTTTTTTCCCATCAAAAATAAAGTACAGGTCGAAAAAAGCCGTACCGCGTTGTGTATCAGTAAAAAATCTGCATTGTATATGGGACTTGCATACGAGGTTTTTTTTTTTTACAGATATCATGTATTCTAATACATTTAAGACGTGCGTCTTATTTCTGTATATGAGTAAAACGTTCTACATATAACGTACGGTCAGAGAAAATGAGCAAATTTACTTCTGCAAGAGATAAACACTCGATTTGTTGTAGAGAATTGTAAGAACGATTATACAAATACTCATTGTGTTGATTATTATTGGTAATGGCTTTCATCGAACAAATTTATTTCGTCATCATTCTCGAGAAAGCTTCTACGGACAGAATTTTAAGCTATCAGTTATGCAAATTCTAACCGAACGATAATCATAGTCAAAACTGACATTAGTCCGTAAGCTCTCTACAACTCTCGATAAACTGTTACCATCGCTTTATAAGATTTATTGTAATCTTTGCCAATAACCAATTTTAATAAAAAAACCGAATTTAAAACTATTAATTGGGAAGCGCATTGTGATAACGGTAATAGTAAATAGAAAAACTGTTATATTAATCGAACTATAGGATTAAAATCTGCTGTGTTACATCGTATCAAAATGCGAATCGTAAGCTGTATATACATGAAGTTTAAGAATAGTTCAACAAACAATAAAGACAATGAGAAGCTAAAGCATAGCTAGAGTTGCATCCAGGTAGTCTAATAATATATACGTGTAAAGGTATTTAGATAAATGTATTCAGTAATGTATAATAAGCAACACATTTAAACACGATACTATTCATTTGGACTTGTATGAAACGCAACCATGGTATGTTATTGTACTGTATAACGATAAATTCTAATCTGTCACACACACAATTGGTTCCAATTGAAAATTATAATGATGATGCTATCATCACACATGTGTTGTGCACAGACAAAAGCCCGTGCTTTACACGTTTTCTTTATTTACATAATGTCTGACAAAAAAAAAGTGCTATACACTATAAATCTATATCGGGACAAAAGTGCTACATGCTTTCAATCTTGTTAAACGATAATCAGTTTGCAATAAAAATAATTAGTCAGAACATTGTTCATTACAAGTTTTTGTATCAAATCTTTTTTTTTTCTTTATTAACTTTCGTTTCTTGCCAATTTTTCGTTATTTCTTCGTTTTCCATCAATTATCGTCCTCGCTAACTTGTTCATTTCCCAACATGTCTCACAATCGTAAAATTTCAAAGACAGAAACAGAATACAGAGATATAGTCTTGTACCTTCAATCCGAAGCCCTTTCTCCCAATGTCGAAGAAAGTGCATAATATTGAAGTCTAACTTTATTCGCCGGTGTAAAAAGTTCGAAATCAACGAGGACCAAATCTTTTATACCAAAAGAACGAAAAGCGTCGAGTGGTTCCCAAATATGAAACTGAATTACGTAACTTAAACCCGATTTCATGATCAGTCCAACCATCGTGATTACAATAAAACGTATTCAGCAATTGCAGAAAAACACGTTGGTATTACTCAGGAAGAGGTACGAGCATACATCAACGAATGCTCGGCATGTAGCATCAACACACTCACTATCAAAAGTATTTGCCGGACTTGGCAATTAACAGCAAGACATTTGAAAAGTCTGTTTTTCGAAAACCGTATTACAGTCAATTATAGCAAAGCTTGGTTATAACAAAGATCTGTTTATAATAATAAGCCAATCATTTTTGAGTATCTGGCTGGCTATAGTAAACTTCATTAAGAAACCTGCCTGGTTATAATGTTTATTTGTCAGAACAACAGATGTGCTACCAATTGACTATAATATATAACGAAAATCTTCACTATAAAATTTGTACAACCATAAAGTCGGATAGAAATGTGACCCGTTTTAGTTTCGGGATTGTCACATTAGAATAATCTCTTGCACCAACAAAGTGTTATAACGTCGAGACAATCTTGAAACGGGTTGACCCGTTCTCAAATCCCAGCAACATTAACGCGTTTTTACTTATTGATCGAAAAATACCTTTCCGACTGCTGCCAGTTGTGATGGACACATGTACAAGTCGACCTAATTGGCTTCCATGAATTTGCAGATGTTAACAATGATTATAAATGGTTGCTGACATGTGTTTGTACGTTCTCCAAATACCTAGTGGCAGTTCCAATGAAGAATAAGGAAGCTGCCACTGACTTGAACATCTTGTCAAGGACGTTTTCAAAATCCCAGGTTCCCACCCTCGCCATTCGCAATGAGAGACAAAACAATCGGCGGGTTTCACAGAGTTGTTATGGGACAATCTACAGAGATTAATGTACATAGTGCCCATTCTCGTACACCGCATCAAGCGTTATTTGGGATGGAGGATGTGATGTTTATGACACACCTGACCCAATGATGATAATGACATTGAATGGCGACAGCGACAATAACGACGACGGGGACGGAAATAACAACAACGACGACGACGATGGTGACAGTAATAACAACAACGACAACAACGATGACTGTGACAGTAGTAACAACAATAACGACGATGACAACGTGACAACAACAACATCAATAACGACGACGATGATGACGAATCATATTCTGCTAGCGAAGATGCAGTCGAACGACACCTGTCGAAAGTAATTCAGATCCATGAATCCATAAACAATACTTTGGACAGCTATCGGTCAAAACAATGTCAGAAAGGTAGCGTCCACCGTAAAATGCGTGCAAGTAATACAATTGAAGCCGGGACATCAATTTATACCGCACCGGATCATGACAACAACCAGCGTACCCGTAAAAGGAAGCTCCAGCCTACCTTCTCTGAAACGAGTACCTTCAAACGTCTGACATCGAATAACAAAACTGCAGTAGTCGTTGTTGATAATAAGAAAACCCGCGAGTGCTTCGCGAACTGCTTTGCAAAAATCTATCCAACAGATTTCATACAGTTTACAAAAATGAAAGAAGGATTAAGTGCTATTGCAGGTTATGGGGTGATTAAAGAGGGGCTCTTTTTCTCTCGGCCTCATTGGCTCACTTCCTCCTTGGGCTCCCATTTCCACCACTTTGCTCTCACAAGCGAATTTATTCTTGGATTATTGATTGGGATTATCTTTTTGTTATAAAATCCACAAAGATCAGCTGCGTATACGTATTGTAAATCAGAAATTAATGAAGTAACAATTCAAGATTGGATTGATAAATAAAAGAAGAAAAGTGTAAATGACAAATAGATTAAAGACATTGATACTTATGTGATTAATGACAGTGATAGTATAAAAGATAAATTTGCACCCACCAGAGTGACCAAAAAATAGGTTATACTCATAAATGGCTTTGGGTCCAAGTATTTTCCTCTCATGTAATCACTCTGTGCATTTATATTCAAGAGTGTGCTCCCTTTTTATTTTCAAGCCATTACACTTGGTTGGACACCTTGCAAAAACCATGGCAGAGAGAAATAATAGCAGAGTTTGTGGTACCTTTCAGGTCTGCTTTTTGCACAGAAAAATCCTCCAACGTATTGATCATATTAAACAAAGTCTATTTTATATAGAACTCAGGGAATAATTAATATTAACCCAGACACGCCCAAGTTGGTGACTCTACCTCGTTTTTGCCTGATCCCCATAAACACATATTTAATATTGGGATGCTGTAGCCCTACTTTGGGGATATTAATACTAATAAACCTGTGCTTTTGATGACAAATTTCTTACTGCTAGTAACATTTCATCCTATTATCTTTACCTTTTGACCAGGTAACTACCTTTTTCAAATCCCCCCAACAGTAGTTCACCCTCATTGTTGTAAGATTGAATATGGAAAGTCTTTGGCTTATTGTCTAATATAAGGCCGGTCACGCGTTAGAGAGGGTTGTATTTATTATCGCCCATAATTACGCGGGTAAATATTGAGCCTTACTATTCCAATTGTGGACGACAGTGTAAGTTTAGAATATACAGCGCAGCCGCAATGTCAAACTTGAAGGCAGTATTTCTAAAACTTTCGTCTACATTCGCAAATGGTAGTAAATAACGCAATTACATGGGGTTGTTTTACAAGGGAAAAGGTCGGGCCTTTAGTCATGTTTTGGAGAAGAGTTACCGGGAGAGTATCTCAACAAACTCTCCAAGATTATCGATTACCGTTCATAGCGAGTCTATAAATATGGATATTTCAAGATGATAATGCTACAGTTCATCGTACAGCCACGGTAAAGAAATTTAAAGAAAATAATATACTGTCGCACATGGCCGCCACAGAGTCCCGATCTTAACCCAGTCGAACATTTATGGGATGAATTAGAAAGAAGACTTCGTAAAAGGCGAACTATGCCAAAAACTAAGCAAGAACTCTTCTCTGCACTAAAAGAAGAACGGTTTAAAATTTGAACCAGACGTACTCGCAAAACTTGTAGATAGCATGCCGCGGCGAGTGCAAGCTGTTTTGAAATCTAGAGGAATGCCAACTAGATATTAAATAAACCAGCTGGTTTTTCTGTATCATTGATATACATTTTAGTTAACTATCGCGAGAACCTTTACATTTACAAGTAAACGGGAGAATTATTCATGATCGGCCTAGTATATTTCTATCGGTATTCTACGTCACACAACGTTACAAAGGACCCGTTAAATATCCCGGCATTCGTAAGCGATTTCGGACACTCCCGACGGTTCTTACGTTTAAATTAATATGGACAAGCATTAAAAAAATCTTTGTGCTGTTACGAAAATGTCTTCTATTACGACATTAAAAGAAGCGGAAGATCTTGCAAAGACGTCTCCAGAAAAAGCCGAGCAACTATATACGAATATACTAGCACAGGATGCTGGTTAGTATTTTCCAAAAATTTTTGGAAGAGGTCTTAAAAGTGCGCCTTATATCTTCTGATATCATTCAATGCATGTAAATAAGTGCATTGATATCTATCCTATTGATTATGTAAAGGCAACGACGAGACTGTGATCAGGCAACAGGAACAAGCTCTCGTAAAATTGGGCGAGCTTTACCGTGATCACAGGTGTGTTATGTATATCGACTTGTCGACCGACAGTAATTTGCCGGAGAAAAAAAAAAGACATTTTTCTAATAGATTTTATTCTTCTAGAAAAGCTGAACAGTTGTCGCAATTGATTCGATCTTCGCGGACGTTTATGTCTTCGATTGCAAGAGCGAAGACGGCAAAAATCGGTTGGTTTGATTTGAATTGAGTCCTCTTTGTAGTTCATTGCAAATCGTATTATTAACTGTTGTTTCTTCCTCCAGTAAAGACGCTTATTGGCCTCTTTTCCGAGATACCGAATACCCTTCCTCTCCAAATTGATATATGCAAAGAAATAATCCAATGGAGCATCGAAGAGAAGCGCATATTTCTCAAACAGTCTTTGGAAACGCGTTTGATAGCCTTGTACGTATGATCACTGTTGACCCTTTTATGCATTACCAAATGACCTAGCAGGACTTATAAATCTTACTTTAATATAGATATCTTGATAACAAAATGTATCATGATGCTCTCACTTTGATCAATTCGTTGCTAAAAGAACTTAAACGTCTTGACGATAAGATGGTTTTGGTTGAAGTTCAATTGTTGGAGAGCCGAGTGTGTCACGCTCTTCGCAATTTACCTAAATCAAGGGTAAATATAACGGGATCTGTTTTTCTCCTTGAGAAGAAAAAAATGGCTTATCATTTGTGTTTCAATTAGGCGGCACTCACGTCAGCAAGAACGTCTGCGAATGCTATCTATTGTCCGCCCCTTCTTCAAGCAGCTCTGGATATGCAATCTGGTATCCTGCATGCCGAGGATAAGGATTATAAGACAGCGTAAGCATATTGAATCTATCGTCGGCTCTTACGCGGTATCACGTACCTCAAAGTTCACAGTCATCAGTTATTCATATTTCTATGAAACACTTGAAGGATACTCTTCTCAGGATGACCCCAAGGCAATTTTGGCATTGAAATATATGCTTCTTTGTAAAATTATGCTGAACTTGGTATGGAATAATCTATTGCATATCATTATGTTGTAACAATACGAATGATCGCTTTTTATTGAACCAGTTTTGTTTATGCTCTCTAGTCGCAAGATGTGCACGCCATCATTCACGGCAAGCTTGCTCTTCGTTATGCTGGACGCGAAGTTGATGCAATGAAAGCAGTTGCTACTGCCCATCAAAATCGTTCACTCAATGAATTTGAAAAGGCTATAGCGACATATAGAGATGGTAAAGAGATTTTTGTACACAGAATGTGTGGTATTTTCTTTTCTTTCTTTTTTACACACGTCAAG